TCATACTTATTAAAATTAAAACTGGGGTCACATCCAACAAAGTAGAAATTTGGAAAGTATCTGATTCATTTAAATTACAATTATGTTGTTTTTTTTAAAATGCTTTCCTTAACATAAAAAAAAAACCTAGAAGAGCACAATAAATTTCACATTACACCATCATTCAATTAATAGTTATACTTTAAGGATATTGATGACAAACACATTTAAAAATAAATATTTCAGCAATATCAAACAAGCTTCCAACTTTTCCAAAAAAGAGAGTCTTTCTAAAACTGAATTCAAGAGTGATTTACTGAGCTTCCATATGCCAGACACCCCTCTATTCACTCAGGGTTCAGGGATGAATAAGGCTGGGCCCTTGTCCTCACAGAGCTCACAACATAGTGCAAGAAACATTACAAATCCCCTTTCCACAGAGGTGCATACCTGTATTTTCTGTTTGATATTAACTTGACAAGGAAAAGCATTCTTTTTTTCATCCAATTTTGAAGTAACATCTTCCTTCCGAACAATCACCTGCTTTATTGATGGGCGTTCTGTTTCTTTGAATCTTTGAGATCTATATGCATCAATGCTTCAGGAGATAAGTTAATCTCTATTAGAAATCCAGCAACACACAGAGCACTATCCTCTACTGAACATACCAGCAGAATTTGATACTGACATTGAACATACCAGCAGAATATTTCGCCAGAATGGAAATGCTACTTGGTGAAAGAGAGGCAGACAAACTTATTCCAACTTTTATACAGATGAGTTATTAATAATATTATAGTTACAAATTCTAACACAACTTATGTCAGTTAGTGAATGAATGCCTTCCAGAAAAGTTCTTACCTATATAGAAGATCGCGATCTTCAGAACCAATGCTATCACCAGACTCAGCTCGAGGGACACGGGTTCTTTGGAATTTTCCTGGTTTTGGACTTTCATCACTTAGGCTGCTTGTGTCTTTCAATTCCAACTTAGGCGAGGAAACTAAACTCTGTAGGAAACACAACAGGTATTAGCAGATTTTATGAATAATTAACATTGATCCCAAATAATAATTAATTTAATTATGAGAAAATAAGTGAATTCCTCTCCATTTTTA